AAGAGGATAATCAGTAGAACAGTTTAAGTTAATAATGCTCAAATATTGTGTGTGTGTGTGTGTGTGTGTGTGTGTGTATAGGAATCATAACTGTGAATGGGATAAATTCACCCATAAAATAAGAGAGGAATGAATTAGGAATTAAAATCCAACAATATGTTGTTCACAAGAAACACACTTAAAACAAAGATACACCTAAAACTAAAATAAACTGGATTAGATTCCATTATGCTTCAAATTAATTTAAAAAGCGGTAGCAATCACAATCTCAAAGTAACAGCACAAATTGATCTGATTAAAAGAGATAAATAGGGAAATTTCATTTTATTAAATTTACCATAGATAATAATATCAACACTAAACATATATGTACCAAATGGCAAAGTATCTAAACTCTTAAAGTTAAATGAATTATAGGGAGAAACAGTAAAACTAAAAGTGAGGGCATCAATTTATTCCTCTCAGACCTACATAAATCTAAACAAAAAGTAAATCAAGAGGCAGGAAGGTGGCACAGTAGATAGAGCACCAGCCCTGGAGGACCTGAGTTCAAATCCAGCCTCAGACACTTGACACTTAGTAGCTGTGTGACCCTGGGTAAGTCACTTAACCTCATTGCCTAGCCAAAAAAAAAGTAAACCAAAAATATGAAGGTACTAAATAGAATTTTAGAAAAGTTGGAAATTATAGCTCCCCTATAGAGTATTAAAGGAAATGAAAAAAAGTATACCTGTAAATTGACCATTATTAAAGCATAAAAACCTCACAAACAGAAATATTAAATGCATCTTTTACCAATCATAATGCAATAAAACTATATTCAATAAAGCATTTTTGAAGCAAAGATTAAAAATTAATTGGAAACAAAACAATCTAAAATGGTTGGGTCAAAGAACAAATCATAGAAACAATTTTATTAAAGATAATGACATTGAGACAAAAAATTTTTTGAGATGCAGATAAAGCAGCACAAAATTTATATCTCAAAATGCTTTCATTAAAAAAAAAGCAGATCAAAGAATTAGGCATGCAACTAAAAAAATAGAAAACCAACAAATTAAAAATCCCAATTAAACATCAAATAGAAATCCAGAACATCGAAAGAGAGATGAACAAAATTAAAGGCAAAAAGACCTAAATTAATAAATAAAAGTAGGAGATGGCTTTTTAAAATCAAAACAAGCTAATTTGATTTTTTAAGAAAGAAGAAAACCAAATTACCAGTGTCAGAAATGAAAAAGGAGAAATATTGGCAGCTGATGGCTCAGTGGATAGAACACTGGGACAGGAGTCAGGAAGACCTGAGTTCAAATGTGACCTTAGAAACTTAGTAGTTCTGTGACCCTTGTAAAGTCTGTTTGCCTCAGTTTCTTCAACTATAAAATGGGGGTAGTAATAGCACCCACCTCTCAGGGTTGTTGGGAAGATCAATTGAGATAATATGTGTAAAAGGGCTTAGCACAGTGCCTGACATATAGTAGGAACTATGTAAATCTCATTCCCATCCCCTTACCCTCTAAAAAGAAATTATTAGGAGTTACTTAGCCCAATTGTATGCCTACAAAAATAGCAATCTGAATGAAATGAATGAATGTTTACAAAAATATCAGTTGCCCAGATTAACAGAACATGAAATTGAGTACAAAAATAACCCTATCATCCCATAAAACAGAAGTGGATAGCAGAGTAGATAAAAACCAGAATCCTACAATGTGTTGTTTACAAGAAACACATTTGAAGCCAAGAGATACACCCACAGAGTAAAGGTAAGGGGCTGAAGCAAAAACAAAAAACAACAACAACAAAAAAACATAAAACAAAACAAAACAAACAAACAAAAAAACCAGCAGGGGTAGCAATCCTGATTTCAGACAAAGTAAAAGCAAAAATAGACTTAAGTAAAAGAGATAAGGTTGGAAACTACATCCTGATAAAAGGTACCATAGGCAATGAAGCAATATCAATACTAAACATATATGCACCAAATGGTATAGCATACAAATTCTTAAAGGAAAAGTTAAGTGAGTTACAGGATGCAATAGACATCAGAACTATATTGGTGGGGGACCTCAGCTATCCCCTCTCAGAACTTGATAAATCCAACCAAAAAATAAACGAGAAAGAAACTTGAGGTAAGTAGAATATTAGAAAAGTTAGATATGACAGACCTTTGGCATGATTTAGACATAAAGGTCTACAAAGGACCATAAACAAATTGGAAGGGCAAGGAATAGTCTACTTGTCAGATCTATGAGGAGGGGAAGAATTAATGACCAAACAAGAGATAGGGAGCATTACAAAATGTAAAATAGACCATTTTGATTATATTAAATTAAAAAGCTTTTGCACGAACAAAACCAATGCAACCAAGATTAGAAGGAAAACAGAAAGCTGGAAAACAATCTTTACAGCAAGTGTCTCTGATAAAGGCTTCATTTCTTAAATATATAGAGAACTGAGACAAATTTACAAGAACACAAGCCATTTCCCAATTGATAAATGGACAAAGAATATGAACAGGCAGTTTTCAGATGAAGAAATCAAAGCTATCTATAGGCATATGAAGAAGTGCTCTTAATCACTTTTGATTAGAGAAATGGCAAATTAAAACAACTCTAAGGTACCACTTCACACCTATCAGATTGGCTTATATGACAAAAATGATAAATGTTGGAGAGGATATGAGAAAATTGGAACCCTAATACACTATTGGTGGAGTTGTGAATCCATCCAACCATTCTGGAGAGGAATTTGGAACTATGCCCAAAGAGCAAACCAAACCCTTTGATCCAGCAATACCACTACTAGGTCTGTATCCCAAAGAGATCATAAAAAAGGGGAAATGACCTACATGTGCAAAGATATTTATAGCAGCCTTTTTTTTTTTGGTGGCAAAATATTGCCAATTGAGGGGATCCCCATCGACTGGGGAACGGCTGAACAGGCTGTGGTACATGAATGTAGTGGAATGCTATTGTGCAATGGGAAATGATGAGCAGGCAAATTTCAGAGAAACCTGGAAAGACTTGTATGAACTGGTGCAAAGTTAAATGAGAGGAATCAGGAGAACATTGTACACAGTATCAGCAACATTGTGTGATGATCAATTATAAATGACTCAGTTCTTCCCAGCAACACAATGATCTGAGACAAATACAAAGGACTCATGAAGGAAAATGCTATCCATATCCAGATAAAGAACTGATGGATTCTGAATGCAGATTGAAGCGTATTTTTTTCACTTACTTTATTCTCGTGGGGTTTTTTTTCTTTTGATGTGTTTCTTCTTTCACAACTGGAACTGATATGGAAACATCTTTACATGGAAGCACATGGATAAACTATATCAAACTACCTACCATTTTTAGAAGAGGTGGGGGGAGGAAGGGAGAAAAATTTAGAACCCAAAATCTTGTAAAACTGAATGCTAAAATTTTTCTTGACATGGAAGTGTGAGGAAAATAAAATACTATTTAAAAAAAATAAAATAACCGTGTCATAAACAAAATTATCACTTTTTATAGGTGATGTGTTGGGTTGCTTAGAGAACTTTAGAGAGTTAAATTGAAAACTAATTGAAACAATTAACTTCAGAAAATTTTCAGGATACAAAGTAAACCCACAGAAATCATCAGTCTTTCTGTATATTACCAACAAAATCCAGAAGAAAGAGGTAAAAATCAATTACATTTAAAATAACTACAGATAGTATAAAACACTTGGTAGTCTGCCTGCCAAGTTACACATAGGAATTGCTTGAAACAAAATTATAAAATACTCTTTATACAAATAAAGACATCTAAATAATTGGAGAAATATTAATTGCTTATGAGTAGGTTAATCCAATATAATAAAAATAACAATACAACCTAAAAATTACTTATTTCATGCCACACCAATTAAATTATGAAAGAATCACTTTATATAGCTAGAAATAATAATGAGGAATAAAAGTGATGAATATCTAGGGAATTAATGAAAAAAATGGGAAGGAAGAGGCCTGGCAGTACATATCTCAAACTACACTACAAAGCTTTAATTATAAAAAACAATTTGTTACTGTGCAAGAAACAGATTAGGTACATGATATGCAGAACCAAATGTGCACCTTAGCCGAGTGTTTGATAAATCAAAATGTATTTTTTCATAGAAACAATGCAATACAGGCCTATCTCATTTCATTACTCCACATTTTTGCTTTTTGCAGATATTGTAGGGGGTTGTTTTGTTTTGTTTTTTACAGATTGAAGGTTTGTGGCAACACTGTGTCAAGCAACTTTATCAGCACCATTTTTTCCCTAACAGCATGGGCTTACATCATGTCTCTGTGTCACATTTAGGTAATTCTTGCAATATTTCAAACTTTTTCATTATTATTATACCTGCTATGGTGATCTGTGACCAGTGATCTTTAATGTTATTATTGTAATTGTTTTGGGGCATCATGAACCACACACATTTAAGATGGTTAACTTAATTGATAAATGTTGTGTGTGTTCTGACTGCTCCACCAACCGGTTTCCCCATCTCTCCCCGTTATCCTATTGCCTGAGACACAACAATATTAAAGAATATTACATAAATTTGTTTGATAAAGCAGTAGCAGAGTTTGAGAGGATTGACTCCAATTTTGAAAGAAGTTCTACTCTGGGTAAAATGATATCAAATAGCATCTCATGATCAGAGAAATTTTTCATGACAGGAAGGATTTCATGAAAATCAATGCAGCAGAATTTATCATTGTCTTATTTTAAAGAATTGTCACAGCCACCCCAGTCTTCAGCAACCACCACCCTGATCAGTCAGCTGCCATTAACATCGAGGCAAGACTGTCCACAAGCAAAGATTATGACTCACTGAAGGCTCAGGTGATGGTTAGCAATTTTTAGCAATAAAGTATTTTTAATTAAAGTATGTACATTTTAAAATATAATACTATTACATAATAAATTACAGTATAGTGTAAACATAATTTTTATATGCACTGGGAAACCAAAAAATTCATGTGACTTGCTTTATTGTGGTGATCTTTAAATAAAACTTCAGTATCTCTGAGGTATGCCTGTACACAGTGGTTAGATTCTCAGGCAAACCAGCTTAGCTGAAGCAGCAAGGTACTCTGTGGGAAAGGGAAGAGGTAGCATGTGTTAGGCAAGTCAAACTATTGTTATCACCTTGACTTTCATTTCCCCTAAAACTCTGATGGAAATAATTTAAGATCCTAAACCCCGAAGTCTAGTTAATAGTAGTGCTCCCTAGACAACTAGCCCTGATTCTGCCCCGGTCTCCCATAGAAGAAAAGAAATTCCTTTGGAGAAGGGACCCATCTTCCTTCCGACCAACAACCATTGATCAACCACCAAGATCAGGTAAATCAAAGAGCTCTGGAAATGGCAATATCTTCCAGGGCCACCAGTCTTGTTTCTAGATCAACCCATGTAGACATCATCCTAGGAAGCAACTGCTGTGGAGAAATGACTTGGCAATTGCTTCTGCAGGTACTAAAGCACTTGCTTACTCAACAACCACAGCTATTGAAGACCCAGAAGAGAAAGTTCATAGTAGCAAAGTCCTTGAGATTGTCAGATGGTTCAAAACCATAAGCATATTTTCATCAGTGAAATCAACATTAAAGAAGATATATTACCACCTGCTTTGCTGCTGTACCTTAAGGATCACAGGACCTTTCCTTCTTAATTGAAGCTGAAACCCTCCTATATGTGATATCTTCCTCATTAAAATGTGAGCTCCTTGATAGCACAGACTTTCTCTGCTTTTTCTCCTTTTATCCATAGAGCTTAGCATAGTGCTTTGCACATAAGTGCTTAATAAATGGTTTTATTTATTCATTCAGACTAGACTACAAAAGCATATTAAACTTGTACCCAAAATGTAGTTCTAATAATAGCATAGAATCTAATCATCATGTAAAACAATGTTTTTCTGAGAATGTGTGTTCAGAATTCTAACTAAGCATATCAAGAGTTTATCTCCCCTTGCTACATTCTTGGCAGCAGTTCTGGCCATGGAATTAGAAACTCTCTCTCATCCCACAACCACCTGCTGGGCAGTGGGATCAAGGATACTCAGCTTCAAACCAATGTTTGTGTATCCCATAATGAGTGGATGGCAGTAAAAGACAGGGGCTACAGAAGACTAAGGGTTGAGAAGCTATGGAAGTCTTAGGCATCTTGCTAGTATAAATTTTGGAGAAATATTTTGAAATCATGCTTGTTTCCTTGACAATATGCCTAGTGTTATTCTAAAGACCTTGATGAAAAAGAGTTAAGGAGAGAGAATTATATATAACTGGGATTTATAGTTTGGACTTGAACTCTAAAAGTTCAATAGTTTTTTTTTCTTCAAATAATCCAGGAGTGATCAGGTCCTCTGATTAGTGATTAGCCCCAATAACATTTTATTTTCTATAATTATGTATATTTTTAATCAGCAAAAATCTGCCTCTCTCCCTCCCTCCCTTCTCAGCCTCCCTCCTCCCAACTGACAACAAAAGAAAAATAAAACACATTGCATTTATCTTAGAAGTTTTGTTTGTAGATGTTTGGAATCATTCTCTTATTCTGGGTTTGTATCTTGGGTATCCCTGTCACTATATTATCTTCTTATAGCAGGATTTTATTTGTTCATTTGTTTGAAACCATTCTTCTGGTCTACCTCTCAATTATGGACTTGATTTTAGGACTGGGATAGAGATAAGGTTGGGGCTGATTTCTTCTTCTGTTAAATATTGTGTTGGGGTGTAGGGTGTGTTTAGAGAAGACTAGTACCTTTGATGTTAAGGCTGCCAAGCCCTTTTCAGGGCTGCTTTCCACTTTTGGTGTCCCCCTGTTCCACCTAACTCTCACTTGAGGTTCCAAGAAACTGTAGCATGCACAGTGGCCAGACCCCAGTAACCTGTTTTGGCAGATGGGCTCAACCAGGTTAAAGGTAACCGAGGAGTCTCAAACCTGTTGGTGAGTTAGGGGAGTGTCTACCTCAAGCATGTGAAGACATTCCCTGGTGGAATGGGTGGATGAGAACAATCTGTTCCAGCTGCCATGAAGGCGGCTGAAGCAGGTGCTGTGGAGCACTTAGAGCTTGGTTAGACATCAAAGACACCAAAGTCATCACTGCATCTTGAGCCATCACCAGTCATCTTGATTCTGTCCTATCACTGGACTATGATGACTCTGGAGGAGACAGGGAGGCCAATGATTTCATGCAACTCTGCCTCATTTAAATCCAATTTATGCATGAATCAAAAGGCATCACCCATACCATTTTACCATTTTTACGTATCTCAAAGTCTTGTGGCAACAGGCAAGTGACAAAGCAGCAGGTGAGATACACTGGAAGCTGTAGTCACAATCCTGCACACAGGCTGCCCAGGCCATAGGGTTGTCTTCTCACTGGAAGCACAAGTGAGATTCGGTAACCCCCTGAGTGTCTGAGTGCCTTTTAAAGATTGTACTGCTCACCTCCTGGTATGAGGAAGGGACTAGAAAAGGTACCCTAAAAATTGTCTGCTTATCCAACCCTGGCCTGATTACCACAGCAAGCAGGGATCCCATCCTGTGGTCAAAACACACAAAAAAAATGTACAAAAACATCTTCAAAGATGATTCCACTCACCTTTGGCACATGGAATACACACACACTTATAGACAACATAAAATCCAATAGACCTGAAAGATGAACAACTCTTGTTGCAAGAGAACTCAGCAAGTGTCACCTCCAAATAGCAGCCCTGGGTGAAACAAGGCTGGCAAATGAAGGTCGGCTTACTGAAGTTGGAGCTGGATAAATGTTTTTTCTGGAGTGTGGAGGGGAGCACCTTGAAGTTGGTGTAGGTTTCAAGATCAAAACTAATTTAGTCAATAATTAGTGAGTGAATGAGAGGCTCATGACAATGTGATTGCTACTTGTAAGAAAGTGCCACACCACCATCATCAGTGTGTGTGGTTCCACCATGATGAATTCTCCTGAGGTCAAAGAAAAATTTTATGAAGACCCGGAGACCCTTCTCATCAATGTGCCAAAAAGAGGACAAGCTTATAATTCTGGATGACTTTAATTCTAGAGTAGGCTTGGACTACCAGCCATAGCAGGGAGTCCTTGGGAGGAATGGAGTTGGAAATAGCAACAGGAATGGTCACTTACTACAGAAGACTTGTGCATCTCATGGCCTTCTCATTACCAAAACTGTCTTCCATTTACCTAAACACAATAAAACTTCGTGGATGCATCCTTGCAGCAAATATTGGCATTTAATAGACTGTGGTTATAAGGAGAAGAGACAGACATGACGTGAGAGTGACAAAGGCAATGTGTGGCACAGAGTGCTGGACTGATCATAGACTTATCCTCTCTGAGCTAAATATTTACATTCAACAAAAGTGGCTTCTCCAAGGCAAAATGACTATGAGAAGAATTAATGTTAACAAATTAGAGTTCTTCTCTAAAAGGGAACAGTTTGTTGCTAACTTGGAGAGAAAGTTGAACCAACACACAGTTGGCAACAGTGGAGCAGAAAAGGACTGGGTAGCTTTCAGGGATTTGGTGTATAGCACTGAATTTTATCTGGGTCAAATAACTAAACTGGCTATATGAAAATGATGGGGAAATTCAGAAGCTGTTAAATGAAAAATGAGAACTCCAGAGGGTTTACCAGCAGGATAGTTCATCCATCTCTAAGAAGGCAGCATTTAATTCTATCAAAAGTAAAGTACAAACAAAGCTTAGAGAGATGCAGAATTCTCGGCTCAGTAAAAAGACGGATGAAATTCAGTTTTATGCTGATAATAACAATCCAAAGCACTTTAATGATGCCGTAAAGGCTATTTATGGGCCATAGACCTGTGGTGCATCTCAACTACTCAGTGCTGATGGAGCCACATTGATTGATGATAAGGACATGATCCTAGAGATGTGCTGAACACTTCCACAGTGTTCTCAACAGACCATCATCAATCCATGCTGAAGCCATTGATCATTTATCTTAGGTTGAAGTCAATCCCTCGCTAGCTGAAGTTCTAACTGAAGAAGAGGTTTTGAATGCCATTAGGCTCCTTTCATGTGGCAAAACACCTAGTGCTGATTCTACTCCAGCTTAGATTTACAAGCTAGGGGGTCCATTGCTCATACAAAAGCTGACTGAAATTTTCCAGGTTTTATGGCAAGAGGAGGTTATTCCCCAGGAGTTCAAGAATGTCTCTATTGTCCATCTCTATAAAGGTAAAGAAAATAGATTGTCTTGTGACAATCACAGGGAGGGTCTCTCTCTTGGTCAGTGCTAGGAAGATTCTTGCCAGAGTCTTCCCTAATAGGCTGATCTGAAAGAAGGTCATCTACCTGAGAGCCAGTGTAGCTTCAGAAAGAGCCGAGGAATGGTCAATTTGGTATTTGCTGCCCAATAACTCCAGGAGAAATGCCAGGAGCGGAACAGAGGTCTGTATGCAATGTTAGTAGATCTGACTAAGGCCTTTGATACTGTCAGTCATGAGGGCTTATGGAAAATTATATAAAAATTTGGTTGCCTGGAGAGATTCATCAGCATTGTACATCAATTTCTTTACGGTATGCTTTCCCGGATTCTGGGAAATAGACAATGCTCTCATGCTTTCCCAGTCACCAAAGGAGAGAAACAAGGCTGCATGCTTACTCCTGTGCTTTTTAGCATGATGTTTTCAGTCATGTTGTCAAATGCCTTCAATGACGATGAACATTGCATCAAAGTCAGCCACTCCGCTGATGATAAATTCTTCAAGTTGAAACAAACCAAGACCAAAGTGGAGGGAGTTTTGGTGCATGAGTTTCTGTTTGCAGATGATTGTGCGCTCAATGCAGCCTCTGAAGCTGAGATGCAACAAAGTATGGATTGATTCTCTGCTGCTTGTGCTAATTTTGGCCTAACAATTAACACCAAAAAAACAAAGGTGCTGCATCAGCCACCACCACCATCAGTTACAGCAAATGAAGAAGTTTTGAATGCTGTGGATAAGTTCACTTACCATGGTAGTGTACTTTCCAGGGATGTACACATCAATAATGAGGTTGACTAATGCATTGCCAGAGCTAGCTCAGTGTTTGAGAGGTCCCAAAAGAAAGTGAGGGAGAGAAGAGGTTTTAGACTGACTACCAAACTGAAGGTCTACAGAACCATTGTGCTGACCTCATTGTTGTATGCCTGTAAAACCTGAACAGTCTACCAGTGCCATGCCAGGAAACTGAATCGCTTCCATTTGAATTGTCTTAGGAAGATTCTGAAGATCAACTGGCAGGATAAGATACTAGACACTGAGGTCTTTTCTTGAACTAAACTGCCAAGCATTCAAACTCTACTTCAGAGAGCACAACTCCAATTGGCTGGCTATGTTGTTCAAATGCAAAACTTATGCTTGTCAAAAAGACTATTTTATGGAGAACTCACGCAGGAGAAGTACTCACATGGTGGTCAGAAGAAGTGACACAAGGACACTCTCAAGGTCTCTCTTAAGAACTTTGGAATTGATTGTGTGACATGGTAGATACTGGCACAGGACTGCTCAGCATGGCATGCCCACATCAGGAAATGTATTGTGTTATCTATGAGCAAAGCAGAATTGAAGTTGCTCAAAAGAAATGCAAGATGTACAAATTTAGAGAATCCACCCCAAATGTTCACCTGGACTTTTTGTGCCTGACCTGTGGTAGAACATTCTGAGCTCATATCGGTCTGATCAGCCACAGTTGGACACACTGAAACTTTACTCTAGCATAGTGATGTCATTTTGGTCCTCTTCAAGAACAAAGGACAACAACCAACCAACCAAGTATTGTGTTATTCTAGGATCTAGAGGAAAGCTTATGCTGGGGATCTGCAAGCTTTCAGTGCTCCCAGAGTGATCTAATCCAGGACAAAGGCTGATTGATGCCCCCCCTAACCCAAGCTTTGCAAATTCCTGACCTGGGTTTGGGTCTGATCACTAATAGATCACTGCTAGATTCAGCAACTATCAGCCAGCCTTGAAGCTCTGTTGGTTCTGAGTAGTAAAACTGCAAGTTCCTCATAGGTCCTAGGTTCCTGCCTTGGTTATCCTTCTGCAGATTTGAGACTGAGCTAGAAACTGAAACTGAGACTCCTCTCTGCTCCTGAGGTCTGACTCACAAAACTGCTGCTTGTTTTTCTCTTGGTGCACCATATAAAGCCTGCAACCACTCCTGTCTCTGAGTATGTTTCCTCCTCAGTTTGTCCTGGATCTGTTACTTAAGACTGGGTAGCAGGTGACAAAACTGCCAGTAGGCACCTTTTACTGAATCATGCATAAGGTACTTCCTTTTGCTCTGGTTCACAGCACACCTACACACACACACACACACACACACACACACACACACACACACACACACTTGCAAAACAGCCTGTAATATTTATTTGTATAGACTAGTCAGGTGATCTTTTCACTTGCATAAAATTCTCTTTGTGGACTACAGAAGTACTCATCTTTCTCTTACAACAACATTATTACATTGGACATGTTAAAATTAATTAACTCACAGCTCATCTTACCTTGGGCGCAGCTAGGTGGTGCAGTGGCTAGAGTGCTGGGTCTGGAGTCAGATAAGACGCATTATCCTGAGTTCAAATCTGGCCTCAGACACTTAAGCTATGTGACCCTGGGCAAGTCACTTAACTCCATTTGCCTTAGTTTTCTCATCTGTAAAATATGATCTGGAGAAGAAAATGGCAAGCCACTATAGTATCTTTTCCAAGAAAACTCCAGTTTTGCATAATAAAGTCATCATATAAAGTTTTAATGGCCATAGAGTGATATGCACTAGGTATCATCAACTGCTTTCTAGTATCATGTATGGTCACAAAGATTGGACACAATTGAAAAATGACTGAATAACAAACATCTTACATTATCTGCATTTTAATCTCTTCCATGATATTTGGGATTCAATTCAACACTCATTATTAGGACGTAGCTGGGTTTCATTGGCAACATGTTTAGAAAATATGCCTTAGCTTGGAATTTGTTGTTTTTTAACTTTGTCCTTAAAACAAATTGTTTCTTTTGTTTTTGTAATCATTATCATTTCCTGAGCTACTCTCCCCACCTCCCTGTAGTGAATCCTCCCTTATTACAAAGTATAACAATTATTTAAAACCAACTGACACATTGACCACTTTTTACTGCACATGTAATGTGATGTACCCATTGTCCTCTAACTTTCTGCCAGAAGGAGGCAAGTATTTCTTTGTTTTCCAAGACCAAAATTAGTTATTACTTAGAGTTTACCATCATTTTAGTGTTTTCAAAAATCATATTGCTATAATCATTGTATATATAAAACATTTTTTGAAGTTCTACCCAAAGGCTTGGCCATAGAGCAAAGCAAGATGAGGCTGAGGTTGTCTGCTAATGTGTTGTGTCTTTTGCAGTATCCTCTAATCACTAATAGGAATTTATTATATTTGGTTCCTTTAAGAATAATGTAATTTCCCTGCTCTTTTCTTATCTATATTTACTGTGGCCTTATCAGTAATCATGATTGCTACTTCTAATTTTGTTAGTTCAGAAGAAGCAATAATAGATTTTACTCCAGTGTCTCATGTTAACTCTGTGAATCTTTGTTTCAAGTATGTTTCTTGTAAATAAAATATTTTTGGATTCTATTCTCTATTCTGTACTGCTATCCTCTTCTATTTTGTGGGTGAATTCATCCCTTTCACATTCATGGTTATGATTATTAATTTCATCCTGTCTTCTTGTACTTCTATTTGCTCCCACCTCCCTCTATACAAATAAGAAGGTAGCAGAGAGGAGGAAGTTTGCCAGATGCTTGTGATCTCATAGGTGAAACAGCTTGTTTCCCTTCTGCTTCAGCATTTCTTATGTCCTTACCCTGCCCCTAATTTCAATATGTTACTCTTTCTTCCTTTCCTTCTAACATCATCTTCACATTCCTCCCTCCAATATTGAAATTTGTTTTGCTTATGACAATCCCCCTACTCATCCTGCCTTCCCCTCCATGTTAGACTTCTTTTTACCCCTTCCTTTTCTCTGACCCATCCTATTTTCCTTTTGAATTTAATGTATTTCTATACTAAACTCATTCTCTCTCTCTCTCTCTCTCTCTCTCTCTCTCTCTCTCTCTCTCTCTCATCTCCTTTATCTAGTTCAGATGAAAACAAGGTTCATGGTATACTAATTTCCCCTACCCCTTCCTCCATGATGATGTAATCTTCATCTTATGTATCTCCCCCATTTTTATCTTCTCCTAAGACCAGCAAAAAGAAAAAAAGAAAGCATAATCATAGACCCTCTAAACAAGGATTACTCTGTATGACTTATGGATTTCCTACCATCTCCTTTCCGAGATAGAAAATCAATGCATATACATTCCAAAACCTTGCTGTTCCTTACATTCTCCATATATGCAACATGAGTTGATAGTACATTTCTTTACCACATCTCATAATTCTTTGTGATACCAGCAACCATCTTGGCCAGCAAAATTTGTTCCTTACTAACTCCAGGTTTTTATCTTGACCCATTTATTCAAAGTCATCATATAAAGTTTTAATGGCCACTGAGTGATGTACACTAGGTAACATCAACTGCTTCTTAGTATCATGTATGGAATGTATGATAGTATGTACAGTTCTGTATTGTCCAACTTCTGCCATTGTCAGAACAGGTAAGGTGTCTTCAAGGGACTAGAATTTGAATCCTTTTACATCACTGACTTCTCATTTTTTTCTTTTTAAATAGTATTTTATTTTTTCCAACTACATGTAAAGATAATTTTCAACATTCATTTTTATAAGATAGTGAATTCCAAATTTTTCTCTCTCCCTCCCTCCCTGTCCTCCCCCCTCCCCAAGACAGCAACCATTCTGATATAGGTTATACATGTGCAATCATGTTAATCATATTTCCATATTAATTACATATTCCAAACAAAAGGGAAAAACCATCAGGAAAAAGTAAAAATAGTATGCATTAAGATTCCATAGTTCTTTTTCTGTTTTTTTTTGTTTGTTTGTTTTGTGTGTTGCTGTTGTTGTTTTTTGATTAGGCAGTGGGGTTAAGTGACTTGCCCAGGGTCACACAGCTAGTAAGTGTTATGTGTCTGAGACCGAATTTGAACTCAGGTCCTCCTGAATCCGGAGCTGGTGCTCTATCCACTGCACCACCACCACCTAGCTGCCCCTTTTCTGTTTGTTTGTTTTTTTATTTTTTTTTCATAGCTATTTTTCTGACTGTGGATAGCATTTTCCATCATGAGTCTTTTGGAATTGTCCTGGATCATTGTATTGCTGAGAAGAGCTAAGTCTATAATAGCTGATCATCAGACAATGTTGTTACTATGTACAATGTTATCCTCATTCTGCTCACCTCACTCAGTATCAGTCCATACAAGTCTCCAGGTTTTTCTGAAATCGGCAGGAATATAATAGTATTCCATTACATTCATATACACAACTTGTTCGGCCATTCTCCAATTGATGAGCATCCCCTCAATTTCCAGTTCTTTGCTACCACAAAAAGATACAACCTAGTAGTGGTATTGCTGTATCAAAAAGTATGCAGTTTTTTAACCCTTTGGGCACAGTTCCGCATTGCTCTCCAGAATGATTGGACCAGTTCACAACTCCATTAACAGCGTATTAGTGTCCCAATTTTCCCACATCCTCTCCAATGTTTACAATTTTCCTTTTCTGTTATATTAGTCAATCTGATAGGTATGAGTTGGTATCTCAGAGTTTACTTCTTATTTTATATTATTATTTTTTTTTTTTTGCAGCTCCTCATCAGTCATTTGCTCTTGCTGCTACTTATCCACAGACCAGAGACATAAAAATTTTGGTTCCATGAAGAGTGATCTGCATATGCTTCTGGCATGTTGGCTGGCAGAATCCTCGACCTCTCTCATTTCTGTCATTTGCTTATAGACCAATTCTCTTGGTGTTACACATAATTTTCACCTCTTTTTTTTAGTTATCACCATAGCTTTGGTGTCTCAAAGCTTTAAGAACAAAGCATCTCCATGTATAGTAATCTTCCCAGACCAGTAGCGGATGCTGAAGTTGATGTTACCTAGTACCATCTCTGGCCAATAACATCTAACTTGGCATATGTTGGCAGACTGCTGTTAGTCCATCCTTGAAACTGCTACCAAACCTCTCCACACACATTCTTTGAATTAAGTACGGAGGAACAAAACTAGTTACTTAGTCTTCTGCTGGTTTCTGGTGACTAGCACCCTCTTGGTAACAGGAAAGCTTCTACGCCTTCCAGACTGGCACCCATATAGCAGGGAAAAAAGGCTTATTTGGACCAGCATAGATCAATACTAGGGAATATGTGAAGCAATTTGACCATGTCTTTGAACTCTTGTTCACATCTAGTTATCTATCAGTTTCTAGATGCTGTTATGGGTTTTATAACAAGGTTGCACTTCTTGCCTTTATACTTCTGAGTTTCTTCAATCACGTAT